ACTAGATTGGAGATTGATACAGGGCTATGGGGAGAGAGCGGGGGGGCAGTACGGTGACTCCAGTGAGTAAGTGACGCAGTCCCCATTGGTCAGGTGACCCACCCCCCAACCCCCCCTCCATGCTGACGCTTCTGCTCTCCACACCGTGAATGCTGAGAAATGATGTCCCTTCTCTCTCTCACTTTGTCTTTCCTTGTTCAGACCTGCCCGACTCTGAGAGGGGAATTGTCAACTCCTTGCTGAGGCTCATGCTTCAGTCAGTGTACTCCAGTGAGGGGGTCCCGAACCCCAGTGTGCACATTGCCTTACGACTGGCAAGAGACCACCACCTGCCAACAGAAGAACTGCTCCTGCAACAGCTGAAGATGACTGCAGTTGAGAAAGTGAAGCATGGTATGTACTGGGGAGCCTGGGAATGGGAGGGTGGGGGGTTTGGGCTGGGGACAGCTTCACTGTGCACTGCTCTATGAGAATGGTCCAGTCCATTGGGCCCATCTGCTCTGTGCTCGTGTTTGTCCTCCCCACCAGCTCTCCTCCTACACCCTCTTCATCCCACCCTGCCATCAAATCATCCTTGTCCTTTCTCCCCTTTACTATTTTGATGTGGAAATCCATCAGGAACGACTGAACAGGCTGGGAATCTTTATCTGCCAAGAATACAGAACACCAATCGATGTCTGAATCTTTAAAAGATAAAGAGGTCCTTTTATCCTCTATATTCTTTGATGGGTAGCGGGTCTCTCTGGCCAGGCCAGCATTTATTGCCCATCCCTAATTGGCCAGAGGGCAGTTACGAGTCAACCACATTGCTGTGGGTCTGGAGTCACATGTAGGCCAGACCAGGTAAGGATCCTTACATAAAGGACATTAGTGAACCAGATGGGTTTTTCCCCCAACAATGGTTTCACGGTCATCATTAGATTCTTAAATCCAGGTTTTTTTTAAAACTGAATTCAAATGACCCTGGCCAGATTTGAACCCAGACTCTCAGAACATTGCTTAGCTTTCTAAATTAATAGCCTAGCAATATTACCACTAGACCATCACCTCACAAGGGTGTTGTAGGGTAGAAAGAAGCCATTGGGCCCAATGAGTCTGTGCTGACCCTCCAAAGAGCATCCCACCCAAGCCCTAGCATTGTGAGGCAGCAGTTCTAACCACTGAGACTCCCCACAGTATCCTCAGAATCCCATATTTCCCATGGCTAACCGATCTAGCCTGCACATCCCTGGGCACTATGGGTAATTTAACATGGCCAATCCACCCTAACCTGCACATCCCTGGGCACTATGGGTAATTTAGCATGGCCAATCCACCCTAACCTGCACATCCCTGGACACTACAGGCAATTTAGCATGGCCAATTCACCCTAACCTGCACGTCCCTGGGCACTATGGGTAATTTAGCATGGCCAATCCACCCTAACCTGCAGATCATTGGACTGTGGGAGGAAACCGGAACACCCGGAGGAAACCCACACAGACATGCGGAGAGCTTACAAACTCCACACAGACAGTCGCCCGAGGGTGGAATCGAACCTGAATCCCTGGCATTGTGAGGCAGCAGCGCTAACCACTGAGCCACTGTGTTGCCATGGCTACACATCCTGGGTGAGACCACAACTCAGAGCCACTGGCATGACAAGCAGGAAGAAATCCAACTGGGGAGTCAGGAGAAGGGTCTTTCCCCAGGAGAGGAGGGGGGATGGGGAGGGGTATGTGGACCTGCCTCCCACAGGCAATGTTCCAGGTCAATAATATTGATGTATGTAGAAAGGGAGGGTGAAGTTGGATGAGCACATGGGAAGTGAGAAGCAAAAGGATCTGGTGATGGGTGAGATGAAGAACGTAGAGAAGAGGCACGGGGATAAAGGATGGGCCAAATGGCCTGTTTCCATGATTTCTCAGCAACTCACATGTTTACTCTCCTTTACCAAACAGGTGATGAGTTCTCCTCGGGTTTGGTTGCTCTTTACACCTTGGCCATTGCTGCATCCTGCAATGATCCCACTGACGTCTGCTACAAAGAGGACAGGATTGACCTGATAGAGATACTGCAGGAGAAATTAACGAAGGAAATCGAACACATCAGTAAATATCACTGAGTATTGACAGGCTGAGAGTCTACACCCTTCAACTTCCTACACAAAGTTAACATTGAGCGCTTTGTCTCTGTACTGTCCCCATTACCCACTCCCAGGAAAGGGACAGCACAGGATTAGATACTACACTGTTAATGGTGACCCCTGCTACAAGCTTGCAAACTATCCTGAGCTCCTTCTACATTATTGAATCCCTACAGCACAGAAAAAGGCTGTTCAATCCATTGGGTCAACACTGACCCTCCGAACAGCATCTCACGCAGACACAGTCCCCCACCTTATCCCTGTAATCCTGCATTTCCTGTGGCTAATCCATACAGCCTGCACATCCCTGGACACTAGGTACAGTTTAGCATGACCAATCTACCCTAAACTGCATATCTTTGGACTGTGGGAGGAAACTGGAACACCCGGTGGAAATTCACACAGACACAGGGAGAACTTGCAAACTCCACATAGACAATCACTCAAGGGTACAATTGAACCCAGTGCCTTAGCATTGTGAGGCAGCAGTTCTAACCACTGAGCTACCATGTCTCTCTGATGGCCCAGATAATCATTTCCTAAATCATTCCCAATACAAGCACTTTCAGGGTTAGATGGAGTGTTGTGAGCCATCTCTGTCCCTTTCATGCATGCTCCCTGTCTCTTCCTCTTTCTTTTTCTGTTGCTGTGTCTCCGTCTAAATACCTGTCTTCCGCTGTGCAACTGTCTGTCCATCTGTTTTCTTGTCTTTCTATCTTTCTCTCTTTGTCTCACTCTCTGCATCTCTCTGTCTCTTTCTCTCACTCTCTCTCTGTCTTTCTCTCCCTCTGTCTCTGTCACTGTCTCTTTCTTCTCTCTGCCTGTCTCTCTCTCTCGCTGTCTCTACATCAGTAACTATTGTTGATATTTTGTTGTTTAGCGAACACTACATTCCCTCTCACTAACTATTACCAAGTTAGCCTGGACGTGCTCACTCTCTGCGTGATGAACAAACAGATTTCGCAAGGTTCGATCCAGGCCCTCGCTGATGCAGTATTGAACGACAAATTCACACATGGCTCTGAATTCTCAGTTGGTAAGAATACTCTCTGTTGACCTCTGTCTCTGATTATCTCCTGGTACTACTTGATGCCTGTCTCTGATTGTGTCTTGTTTGCAGGCAAAGGGACAACAGGTAAGTGGGAGGCTTTCACAAGTGAGTTATTGAGGCTTCAGGATCAGCATGTTCCTGTTAGAGTGAAGGGTAAGGCTGGCAGGAGTAGGGAATCCTGGATAGTTATAACGGCCCTGGTCAAGAAAATGGAGAATGCATATGACATGTATAGGCAGCTTGGGGCCAAGTGAATTCCTTGTGGATTATAGAGGGTCCCAGACTACACTTCAGAGAGAAATCAGAAGGGCTAAAAGGGGATATGAGGTGGCTTTGGCAGATAGGGTAAAGGAGAATCCAAAGAGAATCTACAAGTACGTGAAGGGTAAGAGTGTAACCAGGGAGAGAATAGGGCCTTTTAAAGATCAACAAGGTCATCTGCGTGCTGAGCCGCAAGAGATGGGTGAGATCCTAAATGAATATTTCTTGTCAGCATTTACAATTGGCTAAAGGTATGGATGCGAGGGAACTTGGGGAAATAAATAGTGATGTCTTGAAGAGAGTCCACTTTACAGGAGAGGAGGGTTGGATGTCTTAAACCGCATTGAGGCGGATAAATGCCCAGCACCTGACAAAGTGTATCCCAGGACTTTATGGGAGGCTATGGAATAAATTACAGGGCTCATAACAGAGATATTTGTATCATCGATAACCATGGGTGAAGTTCCTGAAGATTGGAGGGAGGTTAATATTATGCCAATATTTAAGAAAGGCTGCAGGGAAATGCCTGGGAACTACAGAACACTGAGTCTGACATCTGTGGTGGGTAAGTTGTTAGAGAAAATTTTGAACGGCAGGATCTTTGGGAATTGGAGAAGCAAGGACTCATTTGGGATAGTCAGCGTGGCTTTGTGTGTGGGAAGTCATGTCTCACGAGTTTGATTGAATTTTTTGAAGGGGTGACCAAGAATGTAGATGAGGGCAGTGCAGTAGGTGTCGTTTACATGGACTTTAGCAAGGCCTTTGACAAGGTACTGTATAGCGGGTTGTTGAGTAAGGTTAAATCTCACAGTATCCAGGGAGAGCTAGCCAATTGCATACAAAATTGGCTTGATGGTAGAAGACAGAGGGTAGTGGTAGAGTGTTGTTTCTCAGACTGGAGGCCTGTGACCAGCGATGTGCCACAGGGATCAGTGCTGGGTCCACTGTATTTCGTCATTTATATGAATGATTTGGATGAGAATTTAGGAGCTATGGTTAGTAAGTTTGCAGATGACAACAAGATTGGTGACATTGTGGACAGTGAAGAACATTATCTGGGAAAGCAGCAAGATCCTGATCAACGGAGCCAGTGGGCTGAGGAATGGCAGATAGAATGTAATTTACATAGATGCAAGGTAGGTCATTTTGATAGGTCAAAGCAGGGCAGGACTTACACAGTCAATGGTAGGGCCCTATGAACTGTTGTAGAACAAAAAGATCGAGGGGTACAGGCTCATATCTCCTTGAAAGTGGAGTCACAGGTAGACAGGCCAGTGAAGAAGGCTTTCAGC